AAAAAAACATATCTACCCCAAAATTATGTTAAATGAATTCATATATGAAAACCAAAAAACAGAAAAATTGTATGAAATGAAATTAGTGAGTGATCCAATAGAATTTATATACAAAATACAAAAGTGTATGTTGTTAAAGGTGTTCTTGATGTCTTCTCGCTATCACTCCTTGACTTTGCCCTATGTCCTTACTATGCGAAAAGAAAAGAAATAAACACATGACGAGTTGTCACTTATTTGCAATTGGGTTTGTGTTTGTGACAGCGAAGAAAGAAACAAATTGCTAATTGGAAAAGGTTGCAATGTCTCAATCTTTGGTCTTCAAGCCATAAACCAACTGTCCTTGTACTTGTATCAAACATTCTAAATCATAGATTGTTTTTTTAGCGTAAGAACCTTTCACAATTGGAGTGTTTTTGGACCCACAAAACAACTAAGGAAAATGAAATTGGTAAGAAAAAAATTAGGGTTAAATAGTAAAATAGAGATAAGGTCAGAGACATAGATCTCTTTGGGGGAATCACATTGTAAGTGGTAATTAAAAAAAGATTTGTCAAAAAATTATATGAAATAGTGATAGATTGTAGTCTTATTTCAATTATTATGATATACAAAATAATGAGAAATGTGAAGGTATAGGCTCGTGATAAATATAAAAAAGGCAGTGAAGTGGATCAGCAGCTGCCTGTGCGCCGAACGGCCAGGGGGGGCGGCGGGCGTTGCCATCGTCGCGAGGTTGTGCGGAGCGGGATGGCGCGCGCGCATGGAGCTGGCCAGACGTTGCGTGAGGGCGAGTGTGGCGCCACGTGGGGTCAAGGGGAGTCGGCGGACGGCGGGCGCAGCGGAGGGCGGTGAGGGGTGGGGAGCGCGAAGGGGGCTTGAGCGGGGGAATGGGGGTGGAGGGTGGAAGTCGGTAGTGGTCCATGGAGAGCGGGGGCCGTCTGGTCTGTGGCGTGGGTCCGGCAATGGATAAAAGGACGTGCGGGGGCGTCGGCGCGTCTGTGCGGTGGGGGCCGGGACGGGCGGGTGCTTCGTCATCGCGTGCTGGGGTGGGGGTGTGGGTGGCGTTTAGGATTGGGTGATGGGGTCCTGGGGTCGGAGCCAGGTGGCTCGGGCCTGCCCTGACCCACGGGGGTGGGCAAACAAGGCCACTGTGCTGCGCTCGGGCGCGGCACGCGTGGAAATTTCCGCGATCAGCAGTCGTTGATTGGGGAAATCTTAGTTTAAGAATAAAGTTATGAGTTTGGGCGTATAAATAGAAGGTTGTATTTAAGAGTGCATGGTTCCGTGAATGTTAATTAATTGTGGTATTCATGGTAGGTGTGAATTTAGATGTATTGGTAGTGCGATGTGTAGTTAATGATTATTTATTAATTGAAAATAATTAAGTTGATTGTAATCTGTGGAAGATTTAGTAAAATTTTATGCTGAATGGTAAAAAGTTCGAGTTGTTATGTAGAAAGCCTTTAATTTGATTAAATGAATTTGGATTTATGCAATTTTGTGATATGAGTATGAAGAGAGGTGAAAGTTTAAGTGTTGGTTAAGTATCGTGACGTAAATATTAAGATTAATATTTAGTGCTTGATGAACCATATGAAGTTAATAAAAGATTACTTAGAATAAATTATAAATATAAATATCGTGTAATTAATAATGAAATTTTGTTTAGGTGATAATGATTAATAAATAGAGATAGTAAAAGAAACAATTATATAATTTTATGTTGATTGATGAGTAATCAGATATGGAGATGGATGGGGAGGAAATTAAGACTTGTTCGGATTGCCGAAAAATGGATAATGGGCTGCTGTGGTATGTTGAAATATTTGAATGAACATGTAATATGATGCGAGGAGATTGAAAATCAATACACCTAATGATTAAAGCAGGGAATGGAGGTGCGATAGTCGGCCAATTTTTAGGGGAGATGCGCGGCCCGCAGCGAAATTTGTTGAAATGGGTAAAGAGGGGGGAGAGGAGTGGTCGGTAAAGAAAGCTTAAAATAGAGTTGCGGGAGTGGGGGAGAGGGGAAAGTAAGTTGATTTGATAAATAAAATAAGAGAATTTGGAGAATTAAGTATCGAGGAGAAGTGAGATTATCGTAAGAAAAAAATTTAGGAGAAGACGCTCCAGATAGTGATAAGTAGTGCGATATATAGACAAGTGAATTAAAATGAGCCGGGGTAGAGCGCGAATAGAATAAGAAATGTGAAATAAAGTTTTTTTGGGTTAAGATTCTTATTGGGTAGAAGAAATTTTTCTTGTTTATTTTAAAAAAGGTTTATAATGTGGATAAATCCGAAAATGGCGAAGATGAGGACGAAAAGCTGAAGCCATGTGGCTATAAAGATCCTTTGTAAAGGATCATCATAAAGAACTGTGAGAAAGTGTTAGATTAACTAGTTCAATCCACACCTGCATTCATGCATTCAACTGAGGCCTAATGTTTCATGCAGTATTCTTGGGGTTGAACTTTGCCATAGAATGAAATATCGTGTGTCGGCTGCAAATTACTATTTTGTAAATTGCTTATTCGCTATGTGATGGATATTGCTGTGCTTTGGTTTAAATGTGGAATTGGGATGAAGTGGGTCAATATTAACGCTGGTGTGAGATGGTATAACAGCTTGAAGGATCCTGAATAGCGAATATGAAATTTATGGTATTCCGGGAAAATGGGAGGAATCGGCGCCCCAGCGGGTAGTGCCAACGCTGCTTGCTTTAATATGTGTACTGTGTGATATTGGAATGATTATATACCAACTAAGGTTGGGCTGTTTCTTTATTTGGGCGCACCTGTAATCAATTCTGATCCGAGCCCGCAAGGGTGGCCTCCCTTTGTGAGCGCCTGATGATCTAGATTGATGAGACTCCCGGTTACCTCCTGTTGGTAAAAATGAAAAAAGAAAGAGAGAAGGAAAACAATGAGGGCTGGTCATGAGGATTAGACCGGTCGGCCAGTATGGTGGGATCGGCTCCCTGGTGCACACGTGAAGGATGGGCCATGTGGGAGGACGGCTCATCGGGGTTCGGTGACTCCACTGACTAATTTCCACGTGAATGTGAATATGAAGTGGATAATAATTTGTGGTTGCTTGTTGTCATTTGTGTGACACTGCATGAATCCATAAATTTAATCGATAAACAAATAAAAATTTAGCAATTTGTAATGAATGTTGGGGTGAAGGGTATCTAACCCTAACTCCATTGAGTTTGGCGCTCACTCCCTGCTGCCCTATTTTTTTTTCTCCAGGTAATAGAAAAGAGAAAAAATCCCTAATGGAGTTGAGACAAAGTAAGAAGACTGTAAACATAATAAATGATATGTAAATATACAGGGTAGAGTTTCGCAATTGTATTCTAGTGGTGTTGTAGGATGAATGTACTAGTGATACATAATTGAAATAAGATTAATGGGCCTGTATCCACAGTTATGAATAGTAAAATGAGAATTGCCATAATAAGGCCTTACTCGGTTACTACGGGCTTCGGGGGCCTTAAGCCCACCCAGGTCCTAGTGCCGGTCCGGTCCATGGAAATGGGTCGTGACATCTATAAACAAAAGCATTTGATTAGAAATAATTAACCATTGATAAATTGAATTTTAACATTTTATTCATTTTTATACAATCACGAGAAGAATAAGATAAACATACATTCATGCAAACACGTTAAGTAATTTTAATATATTAATTTTAAAATATATAATTAAATATAAATTTTTTTGATAATTTAAAATAAATTAATTAAATAGAATAAATTAGATGAAGTAATAAATATTAAAATTTTTGTGCGTGTGTGCGTGAAGTATTAAAAAATTTAAAAGTATCACATTTTAAAAAATATATCTAAAATTCAAAACTTAAAACTCATAATTCTCTATTTATATATTAATTATTCAAATATTATATATTTATATATTAATTATTCAAATATTATATGCGTCTATACTATTCAAAAGTTTAAAAGAATATATTTAAAAAAAATAACGAAAAAATCTCTAAACTTCAATAAAATTAAAAGTCATGATTATCTATTTATATATTAATTATTCAAATATTGTGTTTGAGAATATATTATTTCTCTATTTTAATATACTAACATTCAAATTATTTCTCTATTTTAATATATTAGTATTCAAACAAGTGTTACACGTTGCTAATAGTTAAACATACATGTTGAAATGATTATTTGTAATTTTTTAATTAAAATTCAAATTAGCCGGACATTTTAAAAACTCAAATATATTATAGATTATACAAATATATTTCTATTTTTTTATATTAATCAAATTTTTTATAATTATATTTATTTATTATTTATTATTTTTAAATAATTATAAACAAATTATCGAATAAAAATATTAATTTAATTTAATCTGAAGGTATCAATTTAATTGCAAGGAATCAACTTAACTTGGACAATGCTCACCCTAAAACTAACATGGGCCTGCTTTGAAACGTAAGAAGGGGTAGACCATCCTCTATGTGAACAAGAACTCATCTCCACCTTTGTATGTACATCCCAAAGTAATTGCCAGAGGGAAAACAAAAAAAAGAGGATTTTACTCCCTCATAAGAACACATTCAAAAAAAGAAGACACTTTCATTCTCAGGTCTCTCCTAAACCAAAATGCAAACCTGAAAAGGAAATTTGCCTGACAATGAAAATTCTCATGTTAAGTGAATAGGATCGAAGGCACAAAATATATTCTGAAAATGAACTTCTAAATTTCCAAATAAAAGCAAAGGCTTCAGTTAACATTCATGAAATTTAACCAAGTCAAAATTTGGAAGCATAAAAAACAAACCAAATGTATATCATTTTTCTTGCTAAAGTATTTTAAACTGCATCTGCTATGACCACCAACATTATGAGCTTTGAGTCCATCCTGCAACAGGATGCAACGAGCAAAATTGTCTTAGTTCGTTCTTCTAAAAGACCTAGCCACTCGCATGTTCATCAAGCAGAAAACTGTCCACCACTCTACACAATTACTCCTATTTCCACTTCTTCAGTGAAGATAGTAGTATCCAGTGACTGCAAACACAAGGAGCAGCAAAGCTGCAACAGCAGCCCACATCCAGTAGTTGGTCGTCTTTTTCTTCCTCAAGATGGCTTTTGGAAGTGAATCTGGACCCTTTGGTCGAGTCCTGTACCTAACACTATTCTCCTTTCTCACTCTTTCCTTTGAGGGAGCTGGAGGCTCATCATCCACTTCAACCTTTTCAGTTTCTGCTGCCTCTACAACCGCTTCAGATGGTTCCTCAGCTTCAGCTGACGGAGCAGAAATTGCAGCCTTCTTCTTCAATTTCTTTTCACGCTCCTGTAAGTACAGATTAGAAGTAATGTTTCAGTTCCATTTTCAACAGTTAAGAAAAATAGTATATGCAAGCAATTATCAGGAACTAAGGAATAAGTAATAATTTCCTTGAGCTTTTTCTCTGCTTCCTTTTGAGCTCTTATTGCTGCTTTAGCTGCAGCTTTCTCAGCCAGTTTCTTCTTCCTTTCCAGGGCTTGCTTAGCTTTTACCATCTCTTCTTCTCTTTTAAGCTCCTTCAACTTTGATTCATCAATTTCCTCCTTCGCAGGACTCCTCTTTTCTGGCACATAGATCTCATCAGCTACATCAATATGGTCCGAGGTTGCCTTTGAACCAGTCTTACTTGATTCTTTTTGGGCCTTCTGGGTAGCTGCAATATCCTTTTGTGCAGCAGGTTTTGGTTCTTCCTTCACCCGTTTTACATTAGGTTTAGCCACTGGTTCTGGTTCAGACTGTACTGCTGACTCCACAACAACCAATGGCTTCTCATCAGGGTTTCTGATTCGTCCATCTCTGCTCAACTGTCGCATGTCAAGTGATGGCAAAATTCTTTTCTCATAATCATCCCTAAAGGCTTTGTTGCTGCTCCAGAGGGACACAAATTTGTCAACCTAGTCAAGAATAAAAACACAAGGTTAGCATGTAGCAGAATAATCAGCTATTAGATGTTCAACAAAACAAGTACTTGTCTAGCATACCTCTTCATGAGCAAGCTTCTCAAGAGCCTGAACATCTTTCTTAGCAGCAAGATCTTTAGCTTCAGTTATGGTCTTACGGCTGTTGTAGAAGTGGACATTCTGATAGAGAGAGAGAGACGACAGTATAAATCGAAATGCAAATAATGCTGACAGACTTCATCCAAACAGATAAATTTTAGCACCGCATATGACCAGAGCAGAATGCCAATCAATATAGTGCTATAAGTGAGGGACCAATGGATGAAAGGAATAACCATTAAGTCATTCTCATGCAAATTAAGACCATATAATTCTTTGCAAAAGGGAGTTCGCTTATGATTGGCTTTCTAGCTTTTTGCATCAACTCAGCATTGGTAAAACAAACTTTCAACTAGAAGCATCATAGTAAAAATATATGGGCTTGTGCTTCTTGATTGATAGAAACCAAAAGCTAACATACATAAAATTCTTCCTAATTCAGGATTATTCAATATTGTGTAAATGGAACCAATATATAGTTGCAATTCATGTTCATTATTGTTTCAACCACGAACAACATTAGTATAAGATTTGTTAAAAACTGAACTGACAAGTCTCAATCCAACCAACACACTAACAACCTAACTCCCGATATGGTGCAAACAAAGCAAGGAGAAAATTTTTAGACCAAACCCAATAAAAAGAAAGCGAGGGAGGGAGAGCAGAAGGGAGATGGAGAGACAGAGCACTGTAAAATCACCACAGAACTGTGATGCAAGAGAGGGAACCATAAAAAGGGAAGAAGGGAGGAAGAAAACTTAATAGAAGGTTAATTCACGTAACAAATCCACATCAGAATCTCATTTCTATACTCGAGAAATTTTTTGCCCAAGCGTACAACTTGATCTCAGCACCAGCAAGTTTCGATGATAACATTGAGCGACTCAGTTAAATCATTCATCAAGAAGATTGTAGATATAACATAAGTGTTTCTTTTTATATTGTTGCATATATATAGAAAAACAGATAGCAACACACAAAAAGACTTAAATCATTGCAAAAAAACACTGATATAAAATATTACCCCATCATCACGCTGTTGTCTCAAGGACTTGATATTTTCAAATGCTTTGTCCCTCTTGACTGTAACAGCTTCCAGATCATCCTGCAATGACTTGATTTCAGCATCCAATGCCTTCACTTTTTCTTTAAGTAGACCAATTCTTGTCCCAACCGCCTGTTTCTCCTTTCTTACTCCATCCAAGTCAACGCCCATAAGCTATAATAACAAAAATATTCCAAGTTACCATATGCGTGCTAATGACTACAAATATTCCTAACTGGAGAAGTCAATGAAACCACAAACTTTCAATACATTAGAAGTCAAAACTTCATATCACTTACTTTGACCTGGTCTTGAATAGCTTCTTTCTGGCCCAGTGAATCCTGAATCTTTGCTCTCATAGCAGCATTTGCAATTACTTTGTCCCTTGTCCCCTCAAGCTGTTTGATTTCTCTAAGTATTTTCTTTTCCTCAGTCAATGGGATGCTCTCATGTTCTATGCAGTATCGCAAGCCATTGATCTAAATTCACCAATGCAAAAAAAAAAAAAAAAAAAAAAAAAAAAAAAAAAAAAAAAACTCCTAAGTGATTTTGACCTTTTCGCTCAGTCAATGGGATGGCTCCTCATGTTGCTATTTGCGAGTAATGCGCAAAGCAATTGATCTAAATTCACCAACATGCCAAAAAAAAAAAAAAAAACAAAAAAAAAAGAAAAAAAAAAAAGAAAAGGAACCATAAATAAAAGTAGGCATCAAAGTGCCATCGACATGAGTTCTGCTCAAAAGAAATTGGTTGGCGTAACGCACAATATTACAAAAGGCTAGATAACTATAGCATACAAGCATCATTGAGCTCTGTCGCTCATAGATTGAACACAGAGGCACCAGCGACCTGCCATTGAAAAAAAAAAAAAAAAAAAAAAAAAAAAAAAAAAAAAAAAGAAAAGGAACATAAATAAAATAGCATCAAGTCATCGACATAGTTCTGCTCAAAAGAAATTGTTGGCTAGCAATATTACAAAAAGCTAATAACTATAACATACAACATCATTGAGCTCTTCCTCAGATGAACACAGAGCACCACGACCTGCATTGTTTGTGCTGCGTAGCTTTCCCAGTGCCTGCTGCAGAGGTTCTATTTCCTTCCTTTTCTCATCAACGATATTTCGGTATTGATCATTTTCGTTTCTTAGAGTTTTAACCTGTTCCATCAATTCTGCGCGCACCGACTAGATGGGAAACAAAAAAAAAAGAATTAGAATTAATTGTTTGGAGGTTACGAGGCTGGTAATACCAACAGGCATGGTCTTAATCTATAATTTGAAAAGAATTCTAACAACTTTTGGCATATTAGACTAGCGGGCAAACTCATGGTTAAATGGAGGACAAACAGAGTTGTTCCCATCAAAACAGTAACTACACCATTCACCCCAAATTGAGGTTGAAAGTGTCATTCAAACATCACAAGAATCAATCATGGATCTGAAAGCAGTCAAATAAAGAGGTTTGACTCTAAATAGAATTCCTAGAGTATGCCAAGGATTTTATTTCAATAAATGAATCCATAGACCTCTTCAACTGCCAGTTTGACAACTATCAGTAGCTCGTAGCAGAAAACCAGCCAAAACATTCACAGAGACACCATTAAATTAATTCTATTAGCTTTAATCCAAGCGAAAAAGGGCAATGGCAATGATAGTGTTAAAAATGTCAACAGAAGATTTTACAAATTTGCTATGCAAATATAGCAAATGCTTTAGAAGCTTATTAGCTAGACTAATAAGAAACCATATCATCCATGAGATGTTGGATTGGCATTTTTTCACTCATAAGATGGTTCAAATTAAAATCAAACATTCATCAAGGTCATCTTTTCAAAATCAAGGTATTTCAATATTTTTACTAAAGACACAAATGCAAGTGAAACTAAAACCAACATGCTCCCTTTGAATAAGAAACCTTGTGTCTTCCATTTTCTTAATCATTTAAAAGGGAAATGAGAGGAGAGATTAGTAAGGGAACTGAATTTAATTGAAAAACATGTATGCACACAAAATTATTGCAAACAACTTGTCTTAAAAGACTAACTCAAAACCAACTAATTTTCTTGATATAACTTTTTTGATCAAAGGGAATTTCCATTAGAAAGATTCCTCCTGTATCTCTTTCTCATTCTCTTCTGAACTAAACATAGAAAATAAGACAGTGGATTAAATTAAAATATTTACAAAAACACCACAAACATTTTTAAAAAAGAGCTTCCCTCAGTAAATGCATTGTCAAAATCTGGTACCACAAATAGCTTTTACAATAAAAGGTTGATCATGTTCACATTTATCTTGTACTACAAAGTAACTGCAGATTTCTTTTTACTAAAAGAGTTTGCCAGGTATGCATTTCTTTCATACATATAAAGCATGTCTGATAATCCTTTATTGACTGACTCATTAATTTTCAAAGAAGAAAAGCTCCAAAATAAGTTGTTTAGATACCATATTAACCTGTGGCAGCAAACAGAAATATTTTGTATATCCTGACAATTGATAACGAGTTAAAGACTTCCTTTACGGCCTTAACTACCATAATTGCTCCAGCAAATGTTAGTTCCTAAAAAATAATTAAGATTTGGCAACTGGAATCACCCAGAGATAATACGGCTAAAACTGCTAGTTCAAGTTGACAGACAAGTAACTTTTTAACATACCCTCTTTGCTTTCAACTCTTCCAAAATCTGAAACCTGGATTGATTAGTCCTTTGAATCTCCCTGTCAGCCGAATCAATTTTGGCTTTTATTTTTGGATCATCAAATGGTCGGTATCTTACAAAATAAAAGGTATGGATCTGCCTTGGAGCAGGCCACTCGTCAGCTGCTTCTTTTGGGAACTTGGCATCTGCAACAATGTCCGCTTCTTTTGCGGGCTCCTCATCCTGGGAACCGAATTTGATAGGCTCTTTAAACCCTGATTCCATATCCAGTTTCCCATTTTCCTTCTCATGCAGAAATGAGTTGTCTACTTCAGCAACAGTCTCAACGGGTACATGAGCCATTTCAGATCCCACAACCTCAACACCCATCCTTTCAACAAAAGATCAGCCTTGAGAATTGAAAAATCCTGAATTACAAATAATTAAAATTTTACCAAATATGTAATTAAAGATTCAACAGAACGAATTTTATAACATAACCAAATACAATTCACTTGTTCTGCAGGATTTTGTTTATGAAAGATCAAATAGAGTAACAAGAACAATAATTTCCCAAAATAATAATAATAATAATAATCAAATAAATAAATAAACAATTCAAGATTCAAAAAAGTCAGTGAATCTATATAACATACTGAAAAATAACAGTTTTCTACAATAAGCAACCAACAAGAGCATTAACCAATCATTCAAGAAACAAAGAAACCAAAGCACTTAAATAAATCCAGATAAAATAATCAGGAAGATATCAAAGAAAATCCAAAATAATCAGGAAGATATCAAAGAAAATCCATGCAATTGAGATATCAAATCCATTAAATAAAAATCCAAAAGAAAAACAAAAGCTAACTCAATTGAGCAACAAAACCAATATCATAAAACCACATTAAATCATAACAATAATCTCAGCAGTAGTAAATAATGGTATTCGCAAAGATCAACACATAGCAAGCATCCTATAAACAAATCCAACAAAAACCAAAACCAGATCAATGAAAAATAAAATAAAAGATCAAGAACATACCACCACCAAAGTAAAAGGTGCATAGAAAATAAAAGAAAGAAATCGAATTGCATAAAACAAGAGAAGAGGAAAAAGCAAAAGAAATGGCAGATTATTACCAGAGACAGAAAGGAAGAGAAGCAGAAAGAGAAGACCCCCTTGACAAAGGGCCCCCAAGTTTCGAGTTTTGGCAAAAACCAAACAAAACGGGTCAGATCTCAAAACCTCTCTCTCTTTTTAAATTTCTCAGTTTCCTGTTCTTTTTCTTGATTTTCTGTTTTCCTTGAAAGAAAGACAGACTGACTAGTGGGTAATACTAATAGCTATATTTACTAGGTGTCCATTTAGAGAGAGAGAGCTAGAGAATTAGGGAGGATATTCCGGTTATGAATTTCTACATGCAGTAAAAAAGATTATATTATTATTTTTTTTTTTCCCCTTTTTTTCCACTTGCATAGAAAATTAGTGAAAAAAGATAAGAAGAATTATTTTAGAATTTTTAAGACTTATTAAAATTAAATTAAAAAAAATTATTAATACTAGAAGAATTCAGGGAGGATATTCGCGGGTTATGGAAGTTTCTTACATGCAGTAAAAAAGATTATATGTATTATTTTTTTTTTTTCCCCCTTTTTTTTCCACTTGCATCGAAATTAGTGAAAAGAATAAGAAGAATTAATTTTAGAATTTTTAAGAGCTTCATTAAAATTAATTAAAAAAAAATTATTAATAAATATAAATATAATAGAGAGAGAGAAGTTGTGAAGAATTATTATGGGGAAAAAGAATGCTGGAGAGAGAGAGTTGTAAAATTATTATGGGGAAAAAAATGCTAGGCTTTTCTTTCAACATCCTTTCAAATCAAATTAAGCAAAATTTGTATAAAGTAAAACAACTTAATTTGGAGCTGTATGATTTGTTATTTAAAATGAACAAATTGAATTTCAAATTTAAAAAATTTAAATTCAATCCTAAAGGGTATATCTCTATCTCTATGTAGATGTGATGTTTTAGTTTTAATCTCCAAATCATTTTCTTCAAATATTTTAAGTAACTTGTAAATAAAAATAGTTAAACTTTAGCTATAAGTAAAATAAATTTCGTTTTCGCATAAATTTTTTATTTTTTATTATTTTTCTTAAAAGATAAACAAATTTTGTTTATTTAAATTTGTTTAAATTTTTTTCTTTGCCTTTAAAAAAATTATTTTTAAAATAAAAAATAAATTTTATGATACCACAAATAGTGATTTATGTAATTGCGTCTTCTGTTTTTAATTCTACATTCTTTTATTTTTTATTTTTTATAAGATTTTTTAGGTTTATTATTATTTTATTATATTTTTCTATCTACACAAATCTAATTGTCATTTATTTATGCAAGAAATTACGAGTAGATATTTTTTTTATTTACAAAATTATATATTTTTCTATCTATTCTCTATTTAGTTATTATTTTTTATATTTATTATTATTTTCTAATGTCATTTGGTTTATTTATTTATTATTTAATACTTGAATATTATATTTTTATTCATTTGATTGTGGCCACGGTAATTAATCAAAAGTTATGTGTAACTTTTGAAATTCTTAAAAATTAAATTGTAAACTAATTTTAATTTTTTATTTCAATTTTTTAAATTTTTAAATTTTATTTTTTAAAATTTTTATTATTAATTAAAATATTTAACAGATTTGATAATTGGAAAATTTTTTCATATCATGAACTAAAAGAAAAGAAAAAATAGTTTTAGGAAAAATATATTTTTGAAAAAATACATAATCAAAAATTAAAACCGTTTCATGTTTTCATGTTTCTAATAAATAAAAAACTAAAAATAAACAATTATAACAAACAATGCCTAAGCAATTGAGTTCAAATTAATCAATTAATAGTAATTGATCTACTTTATAAAAATAATTAAATACCACTAGCATAAGAAAAAAAATTGATAGAAGGCTTGTATTTTTTTTTTTTTTTTAAAGGCATAGAAGGCTTGTACTTTAATCTATACTATAATATTTCTTTTTCTTTAAATTATCATCATTTTCAATATTTACGGTAATTATTTTACAAATTAAATGACCATAGTTGAATCTATGAAAGATAAATAAATTAGAATCGTGTTGAGCTTATGTCCAAAATCAATTACTTTGAGAACAAATTATAAGTCTAATTTGTAAATTTATTATTATTCACAAACAAAAAAAGTGTGTGCATATATATTTATGTGTGTGGTATGTATAGAAATCTTTTGAAAATTTATTTGAATATTTTTAGTAAAACCTCAAGATTTTGCATAATTTTTAAAGATTTTATAGTTAAATATAAACTTGTTTAGGAATTTGATTTCAAATTTAAATTTTATGAGTATAAAAATTAATTTATACATTATAATTCTCAAAAGGAATTATGGTTTGCAACTTATAATTTCCACGGTTAGAAATAGTTTACCGGCGTATCACTTTGCAACTTACATATATATATATATATATATAATTTATATATAGCAAATATATAGCAACATAATATTTATTTACCATTTAACCAAAAGCGAAAATGACATTCTTGTCTCAAAGCCTTTGTTTCCCTTATCGATAATAAAATGACATATCTATCCTTGGCACTAACCTTTTTGTTAAGAACACGTGGCTTGTGTGAATCTGGATCGCATCGATGATTACGAGAGCACCGTTGCGTTGACAAGTCTTTTTCCAATTATTAATTAAAGAGTTTACGATAAGATATCGGTTAAAAGTGTACGTACTTAAATACCCTTACATCAGACAGTAATTTACTTAAATGACATTTTTCACGTGCAAGTGTGAAAAAGGTCTGCTTTTATTTTTTGAATAGGGAATCCATAGAGGTAGGTCCACTAGATTTTTTGCCATTATAAAATCTGGTCTTTACTCCATTTGGACTTTTCAATTTTTCAACTACTTTCAATAAAATTTCTTTTTCTTTTTAGCACAAATAAATTTTATGTTTTATTTTTTTAATCTATGAAAATAGAGGTAGACTAGATTAGTCATCCCCGATTATGTGTGATTTGATTGATTTTTCTACCTTTCATAAAAGATGTAGGAAGTGAGAGATTTTGAGTTCGAGTATTTTTACTGCCATAAAGAGGTTATCCTCAATTTGATGAATGTTATTCAAAGGAGAGGGCTGCCCCTTACTACGTAATCCACGGTGTTATTTCGGCAATCAAATTGAAATTTAGGGTTAAATTTATTATTTGTGATATATATGCATGCAAGACAACCTTATACTTGACATTATATCAAGAATGTCAAAAATAATTTTTGAAAATTGAAAATTTTGTGTGATTATTGTTTAAAATTTATTTCATTTGTTTTTCAACTAATTTTATAATTTTTAGAAGAATTAATTTGCTGAGAAGTTAGTATTTTACATATATTATTATTTTTTATCTATTTTATAGAAGTAGGAATTAGGAAGAGAGAAGCTTTTCAATGCCTTCTATCAATTAAATGAGATGATAAAATTAAGTAACTACTCTCACCTACCATGATTAACAGTTTTAATCTTTATAATTAAAAAAATAATTGCCATATAAGTCAAGTTTGAGATAGTGTTTAACATGTACAAATTAGAAGTTATAAATGTCTAAATTAAAATAAAAATTAATCCAAAAAAATTAGAATAAAACAACACAATGCCATCATCTAAAAAATAATAATAATATGACACTACCACATCTAAAAAGTATAGTCTAATATTTAGAAATAAAGCTTAATTTGCCCTACACTCGCAAGCAATATTCAATTTGTCAAAACGTTAACTTTTTATATAATTTATTCTTCAAACTTGCAAAAAAAAAAAAGAAAAACTCAAATTTTATAAAAAATAATTAATCAAAATTAAAAATCAGTTAACATAATAAATCAAAAATATTAACTAGAAAAAAAAAAAAAAAAAAAAAAAAAAAAAAGAGTCACTTAAAAGGCAAAGCCTAAATGCGACTGAAATTCCGATGTAATATAGAAGCCACGCTGTGGACATGCGTGGACGGAAGGTATGCAACCAAAAATTTGTCTCCTTTCGTCCGCCAAAAAGGACTGTTAGTTTGCACTATTAGTGCCAAATCTAAAAAGCCACCTCTTCCTTTTTATATATTCCTTCTGATTTATTTATTTGGATAAAAATAATTTTATACCGAAATTAAAAAATTAAAGAGAGAAAATGATAAAAATATTATTCAAAAATCTAATCACATTCAATTGTACTTACCATAAACTTTATACTTTGTTTTTTATAAAATTTAATAAATTTATTTAAATAAATGAGATATTCTAATTAGAAATCTTATTCAAATAAGTTAATTGGAAGTATGTAATTTTTTTTTTTCAATTTCATTTAATTCTTTTTTTTCTTTTCTATGATAAAAATTTCAGCCGTTCTTCAAATTAGAAGTCCTCATTAAACGACTTCCACTCCGTGTCATTACAAAGTGGGTCACTAGTAAAGCCCATATAGTAGTAAAAGAGCTCAACCCAATAACCCAATTATAACTTACAACGAACAACCTTATCATGCTTGCTTTCGGTTTTATACAAAATATAGGCCTAATCTATTAAAATTCCCCAAGTTTAGAAGTTTTTATAATTTTACTCCATTTTAATATTTTTATATTTTAACACCTGTGCCCGTTCTAATGGTCCATAAATCTGACTAATTTTCACTTGCTTTAAGAAGCAAAGAGACTGACTGGGAAAAGTTGGCATTGCGGAGGGTCAAACCCATAATCTAAATCATGATAATCAATCACGCAAGTACTTTTTGCCACTATTTGATATATTTTGAATCATCATGTGATATTAATAAAAATAAAAGTTAGAAAAAATTCTCTGAGTCTACCCAATTCATATGGTACAAATTAAAATTTTAATTTTTAATAATAATTTAATAAATAAATTTTTGTTACTTACAAAAAAATTTCAAATCATGAAATAAAAATCAAGTTAATAAAATATTATTAGTTTTCAATTACGTATACGAAAGATAAAAAAATCTTAAGTTTTGTAAATTTTCATAATATAGTCAAATTATTTTTTATTTAATTAAAAATAAATAACTTCTTAATTATTTTAATTTCACATTTCAAATATTGTATTTCTAAATCTATAAATATGTCACCCACTAAATGTGTATATAATTTAATATTTAAAGGACATTTAAAATTTTATTTTTATTATAAATTTTATGTACTTATTCAACAATAAGATACTATACTTAAAAAATGATGGAAGTACCTTTTTATTTACAATTTTATCCTTAATTGCAATTGAGGGTGCAATTGTTATAAATTGTTAAAATTAGGTAAAATTAATA